CTCCTGAAAGGTGGCAGATGACCCCCTGTCCTTTCTTTTTCTGCTTAGACAACCTCCGGTGGTTCCTAGTAGAGGGAGACTTGCCCTCCACTGGGAGCTGGGACTCCTGGTTGCCAGGGGTAGAATTGGGCTCAGAGAGACCATCACCAGCACAATCCCAGTGGGCAGAACTGCCACAACCCAGACAGTTTGTTCATGACCAAAGTCACTTGCAGCAAGGACTTTAGCCAACACCTACCCAGCACCTCCAAACACCAGGCATTCTGTCACATAGGTCCCAGCAGCCGGGCCATCAACCAGCAGAGAGGCAGAAACTGGCAATCAGAGCCACAAAGCACAGAGTCGAGGGGACTCTGTGGGAAGGTTCTACTCCTAAGATGAGACTGGGGATTGGCTCCAGAGATAGGGCCCGCCACTGAAGACTGCCTATAAGGCTAGACTAAGCTCCGAGAAGGCAGGAGCAGCCGTTGGACCTGGAACTCCCCTGCTGCTGAGGGTGGAGATGGCAGTTGCTGACCTCAAGCAGTAGAGGAAACACACTCCTTTTCAAATCTAAGGACTGCACCAGGTTGGGTGTGGCACAGGACCCTGGGGTGCCAGCTGCAGTGGCAAGACACAGAGGACCACAGGCATTTCGCGGAACCACTAATGCATCCCATGTGGCAGTTAGAGGTGTCCAAGCTCAGCCTCTTGTCTTGGGTGCATCGGCCACCTGCTCACATTGCTCAAACGCCTCCCTATTGCCTTCACTGTCTGGCCCAGGATAACAACTGGTGGTTCACTCCACACAGGCATCTTGCCACCACTTGTAAATGCTTCTAAAAGTTGAGAGTTCTGAGCTGGCCGGTGGTGGCACACTTGGGAGGCAGAGGCAGGCGGATCTTTGTGAGTTCAAGGCCAGCCTGGTCTACAGAGCAAGTTCCAGGACAGCCAGAGCTACACAAAGAGACCCTGTCTCAAAAATGAAAAAAAAAAATGAGAGTTCTGAATGATCCTGAGCAAAATGAGGTTCAAAATCCATGGAGGGAATTATTACTGAGGAAGAGAAAAAATGGGTGTTTTGAGGGAAACCGAAAACTGGCCATGCTTTCTGGGGTGACACACGCTAAGGCAGAGAGACCCCGTTTCCTCGGTGGTGGCTTTGCTCACTAAAGAAGGGCCAGCTCTCAGAGTGTTCCTCAGTGGTTCCACCATGCAGACAAGAGCTTTGCTGAATTCGTTTAGCCTTTGAAATGATGCTCCTCTCGCAGCTGGAGTCTCTTGTCAGCTCCGAGGAACTCGTCCTTTGCCGGCACCAGGACAGGGTTCAGGGAGGAGCGAGCCTTGGATGGCCTGGCACTTGCTTCCTTGGGTGTAAGGGGTCTAACTTTGGTATAGTCAGGATTCTTAGACTGACCCCAAAATCAGGACAGTGTGGATTTACACATTTGATTACAAATACGTTGAAAGGGAATTCCAGTCGGGGAGGTTTTCTTTATCAGAGACACCTCCTGGGCCTGACCTGAAAAAAACCATGGAGCAAAGCCGTGAGCAGTTCTGGCCCCAGGCCTGATGCTGACGCGATCTCATTGTTAGATTCAGACCAAAATGAAGGCAGGAAGCTGATGGGCGGGGACTGCATCTAAAATGGCTGTCTCCCCCACTGCCCACAGGCTTCCCTGTACTGGCTGGGCCCCCAGCATGGATCCCACTGCTCAGCAGCTCTCCCCCACCCCCTGGCCCCAAGAGCCCAGAATGCAGAGGATATGGCTGTGTTGGTGGGTCTGCCTCAGCCCCTGTGGGACAGATATGCAAAGGCTTCATGGGTGACCCTGGAATGTCCTTCAACTGGACAGGGCTTTTGACTTTCAGAGGCTTCCTGTCATCTGCTGATGCATCTGGCCCACAGTGGAGGTTGCAGGCCTGACTGACATTCTGGCCACTTTGTGGATCTACACAGAGCACTTAGTTGTCCTGGTTAAAGCTGTGTAGGACCAGTGCCCAGCCATGATAGGGAGATCACTAAGCCGACACCACTGTCTGTAGCCCAGTGCCCAGCTCAAGAAAGAGATAAGAGGACATCACCACAGAGGACACTGTGGCTCTCTGCAACTAGCACACGTGGTCATCATCATTCGCCCAGCCAGGGTCTGTGGATGCCCACGGGACCCGGCACCATGTGGTGCTCAGATTTTGTCACTTGAGAGAAGCATGTGCCATTGAGAAAGCATGGCCACTGTTCCCTGGGGGAGTGCCAGTTCTTGAGGTGAGAAATGGTGAATACTAAACAAGACAGGATGGCGTGTGACAAATGGCACAGAGGGAAAGGACTCCGTCAGGTTAGAGTGGCCCTGGGCAGATAGGAGCTGGCACTCTGGGGAAGTGAATTTTGGTGACCTGATAGACACAAAGGAGCCCGCTGTACAGAAACTGGAAGCACAGTATCCTGAACACAGAGGGTGGAGAGTGTGAAGTTGAGCCGGAAGGGACTCTCCATGAAGTCGAGTCAGAGCCAGGCCACGAGGCAAGGAGTGAATAGGCTGTGAGGACATGGAATTGGATCCAAGGGGGTAGAAACCATGCACAGACTTACCGTGGCTTACCGGAACCGGACTCCGGTTTCCTTGACATTCCTAAGGCTGCATGTGACGTGAAGAAGATGCTTTGGAGGTCCATACTGAAGAGGAGAAGTGCCTTGGAGATGCTGAAGAACTAGACCCGGCTTCCTGCCTATAAGCACTGACCCAGGTCAAGCTGGCTGTGACCTGGGAAACAGGAGCGTCCTCTCCTGGCTCTGCTGAGCTAACCGACAGACCCCAGGCATCACTTAGAAATGAATGCTCTTCCAGCATCCATGGGCAAACTCAGCTTGTGTTCATTCTCTCTAGAGCACGGGGTAGTGAGTGCTTGGGGGAATCCCTGTGGCTCCTTCCTTCTGAGGATGTGGGGCACACTTCACTGCCAGCACGTTGGCCTTGCTGAGGCACATAGGGCTTGGGAGGAAAACAGTGGCACTAAGGAAGTCCAGGTCCCCAAGACCCCTGGGCAGGCAGTGTTCCAGATGCTTATGGGGCTTCACTCAACCCCTGCTGTCCTCCCGGGTCCCCAGACTGCAGCATCTACTACCCCTGACCAATGTCCCCTGGCTCTCAGCTGGCTTGCCCGTATGATCCAGCCTTTCAGTTCTGAAACTAATCGATATGGATCATTAAACGACTGTGCCCAGCTGGTCCCAGAGCACAGGCTTCTGTTCCATGGCATCTCAAGCTCTTTGCACTGTCAGGCAGCTTCAGTCACCAACCAACCCTGGAAGGGGATGGTGCTGCCAAGGGGCGGCGCTCAGTAGTGGGGTGAGCTCTGCCGGGGACTGCCTAGCACTTTCTGCCACAGCCCACGTGTTGAGGTGACTGCTCGGACAGAGTCCCTTCCTTTGAGCATCAAGCAGCCGGCCTCCTTTTTAGAAAGCTTGTATTTCTCTATTGATATGTGTCATGGATGTTTTGCCTGCTTGTGTCTGTGCACCATGTACATGCAGTGGAGTCCAGAAGAGTGCGTTGGGCCATCTGGAGCTGGAATTACAGACGGTTGAACCATAGGAGGAGGGGAAGGCTGGGAAATGAATCGGGGTCTTCTACAAGAGCAGCCAGGGTTCTAAACCGCTGAGCCGTCTCTCCAACCCCCTCCGATGTTCTCTCTTGATCTCATGCCTCGTTTGACAAGAGCCTGTCACAGGTGGACAGTTTTCCTGGAAGCAGGCACCTTCCTGACCTAGAGACTAGTGAGCCAAGTGGGACCCCTGACAGCGATGCTGAGCCTGAGGCAGCCTCCTCAGCAGGAAAGCAAGCAGTGTCCCACAGCCATTCCTTCTGCCGGGCCACACCCTGAGACCTGGAGAGAGCAGAGCCCTCCCAGTCCTCTGAGCCCATGGGGACTGCCCGGACCCAGGATCAGACGGGCTGAGGGGTCCCGGCTTCTGAGACTTGAGCAAACACTAGAACAGTCTCAGGGAGAGACAAGGGTGCCGCTCCTACAGTGCAAAGCCCCGTAACCCATTTGCGGAAGCCTGGAAAGGCAGATCAGCCTCGTAAGGAAGCCGTCGGGTGCCTGATGTGGTTCTACACACCTGTAATACCAGCACTAGGGAGGCTGAGGCAGGGGGGTTGCTACAAGTTCTAAGCCAGTCTGGGTTGACAGTGCGACTCTGTCTCACGTCACCAAAAAAGGGGGAGAGAGGATGGAGGAAAGGAAGGAGAGGAGACAAATGGTTTAGAAGTAAGTGCCTCATACAGAGGCGAGCCTGAGGCTGAGGGTTCTGAACCCTAATACCAGTGCTGGCCCACGAGGGACCTCTGGCCCAGGCTTCTGCTCAGATCCAAACTGAATCGGTAACCCCGGTGTCCGTCTTGTTACCGCTTGCCTCCCCAGCTCATCAGTCCCTGCCAGGGAAGACAGGTGAAGCGTGTCTGCCAGCAGCTGGATTTGCTCTTGGGCTGGTTTTGTTTTGTTTTTTAATTCTCACATTTTTAAATGAATTTGATTTAAAAAGCAGGCGAGAGATGATCCTCCCAGAGGCGGGTGTTTGTGAGTGTGTATCTGTTCTAAATCAGGGTAACAGACTTCTGTATATGCCGCCCAGCAGCCCAGCCGTTACCTAGCAACATAATGATCTGCGCACGCGGGAGGATCCAGTGAGTCATGACAGTGATTCACCAGGAAGGAGGCAGGCTACCCAGAAGGCTCAGAGCAGGCCGGCAGGCTAGCCATCCAACTCTGCTCGGCAATTGCTGTGCTGGGTGGGGCAACCTGCAGGCCCCAAAGCAGGTGGCCAGGACTGTATCCCTGCCCTTAGCTGCTGGGCTGGCCGCCCTACTGTGGTATAAATTTGATGCAAAGCCCTAGCCTGGGCAGGGTGGCCTGGTCCACTGGGAACATTGACTCGTTCTTTCCAAGTTCCAAGTCGAGTAAGGGAAATAGCTGCGAGCCGCTTGTCAGCGGGTCTTTCCTCTTTGAGTGTGTCAGGGCACCTCAGGCCAGAGAAGGCATGGGGTCCCTTGCTCACGTGAGTGCTAGGTCTGAGCCCCTGGGCTGCCTGCCAGGAGGGGTCTGAGGTGGGGTATTCAGCCAGGGCCCACCCACCTTGTTTTCGCCCGTGAGGAGGCTGCTGCCTCTCCTTGCTTTCCAGTCAGTTCTGCAGTGTCGTCTCAACCACGCCCTGTGTCGTTTCCCTTTGCTCCCATGGTGCTGTGTGCAGAAGAGGGTCATGCTGAGCAGAAGTAAGTGCAGCCTGCTGCGTGCTCCCTGTGTGCCGCTGTCCCTGCTCCTACCCCTGTTTCCCAGCAGCAGCTGCTGCTGAGTCCGTCCTCACCAAAGCCAATCCAACCCAGGATATTGGGTTAGAGATACTGCTGAACGGTGCCTGGGCATCTGCTGGCCCTTGGGGGACTGACATGCCAACCACACGGCCCCAAACTAAGGGGCAGGCCAGTGATGGACACAGAACTACACATGGCCCTCCCGACTGGTTCTCGGGAGCTCCTGTGGGATGCCCTCCTGCCTCCCCGCTCCTTCCTAATGTCTTTGCCTGAGGGAACCCCACTTCTGTATAGGGAAAGTGCTACATGCTGGAAACGAGCCCCCACACACACACACACATGCATTGCAAAGAGACCTGGGCCACTGCAATGCTTGTTCAGGCTGGACCCAGAGTGGAACACCCTACAACCTGAAAATCAGAGGGGGGCATGGCAGGTTCCACAGCCCCTTACCATGTCCCTGGCCCACCTTCACTCCGTGGGCTGCCTCAGGCCTGCTGAGATGACCTGCATACAGGTACAACTCGTAACCAGGCAACTTTGTTGCGGGGAGAACTCCGGGGCCTGCCCCACAGGTACCCACAGTTCCCTGTAGCCATGGCTGCAGGTCTGAGGCTCCAGAGCAGCAGTCCACACATCCACAGCAGAGGCCTGGCCCACAGAACCCATGCCTCCTTTCTTCCCCTGTTGGAAGTAGTCACGACTAATCCTAGTAGGGGTATTCCCCAGGACAGAGAGGGGCCTGGGTGACCAGCCAATGGCTTCACTAGACACACAGCAGGCAAAGAAAACCAAAAGCACCCAAGGGAAAGGGACAGGCAGAGTGCAGTCCGGGGACCACGGGATGGTGCCTCGAGCTCTCACCCCTCGACTTAGGCTCTGAAGAGGTCCTAGTCTGTTAGCACCTCAGAGCCCTGCAGGGAGCCTCAGCAAGAGGTCCCCAAAGTTCGGTGTACCAACACCAGAAGGAGTTTAACTCAAGACAGACACCATGACACCACACCCCAGAAGCTCCACCCTGACAGTTACGAGGTGGACTCAGGGGCCCTCAGTTCCTACCAGTTTCCACAGGCCAGGAAGGCATGTGGGATAAACTCTGAGTCATGTCAGTCCAGGTTGTGCCTGTGGCAGAATGAACCTTTCCAGAAATGAGAGGGGTGTGCTGTGTCCACATTCACATGAGCGAGCCCAGGTCAAGAGACACACCTGTTTCCACTTTGGTGGTGTCTGTAGTCACAAGGCTGCAGTTTGGAGACAGCGGAGCAAGAAGCAGGTCTTGAGGGAGGCTTCACCTTTCTAGGTGTGTGGCTAGAAAGTCTTCAGGGGGGCTGCCCAGCACGGATAGGGGAACACATTTCATAAAACGACCACCTCCAGATAGGTAAGTGAGGACAGGGACTTCCTGGGCACCCAGTAGGACCTCCTCCCAATGGGAGTCATCAACCTACACTAGGCCTGGGAGAGTTGAGCCTGCGCCTCCCTGTTCTGAGGACTTCACCTACCCAGATGTGGCAGGAAGGACACCGGTGGCCACCACTGGGAGAGGGGGCTTCTGTCTCCTGTGGTAATAGGGACAGTAAGTCTCTGCATGGAGGGAGGGAGTGCCTCGGTATACCCTGGGGCCTACAGTGAAACAGTAGTCGGCAGCGTTCCCTGGCAGGCAGGCCCCCTGCAGAACTTAGCACAGGACACACTAGCACCCTGGATGCTCTGTACCCTGAGCACCCAAGGAGAATCTCTCCCAACCTCACATGCCTGTGTGGCACTTCTGAAGCAACGTAAGCCCTGCATTTGTCCATAACCCGAGGACTTTAACCCATAAGCAGAGCCCTGGCAGGCTGCTGAGTCCTCTGGAAGGTGCAGGTTGCTGGAGAGGGCCCAGGCTCGTTCTGGCCTACACAGGGGGTCCCTCCAGGTGCCTCCCAGCCTGACCCAGGTGAGTGGCTGGCTTGCTGTGCTGCGGTGCCCCCTGCTCTACCCAGCCCTTTCTGACTGGCATGGCAGTCACTGCCAGCGCAGACCCTCTGCTGTGGTGTGGGTGCCTCCCCTCCCCATCCCACAATCCTCAGTGACCTGGAAGTGATCTTCCTCTCTGTCATTGCTGTTTCAGAAGCCCGGAGGTCATGAGCACAGTCTCAGGAACACGGAGCACGACGGTCACCTTCACTGTCCGCCCGGGCACCTCCCAGCCCATCACCCTGCAGAGCCGGCCCCCCGACTATGAGAACAGGACCTCAGGACCAAGGCGCGCCCCGAGCCCTGTGGTCTCACCAACAGAGCTGAACAAAGAGATTCTGCCCACCCCTCTGTCTGCTGCAGCAGCCTCTCCTTCCCCCACACTCTCAGATGTCTTTAGCCTTCCAAGCCAGTCCCCTGCAGGGGACCTCTTTGGCTTGAACCCAGCAGGACGCAGCAGGTCACCATCTCCTTCAATACTGCAACAGCCAATCTCAAATAAGCCTTTTACAACTAAGCCTGTCCACCTGTGGACGAAACCAGACGTGGCAGACTGGCTGGAAAGTCTGAACTTGGGTGAACACAAGGAGACCTTCATGGACAATGAGATTGACGGCAGCCACTTGCCGAACCTCCAGAAGGAAGACTTGATAGATCTGGGGGTGACTCGGGTCGGGCACAGGATGAACATAGAAAGGGCTTTGAAACAGCTGCTGGACAGATAAGAGTGGCTGCCCTGGGCCTTCACAGACTCCTTCGTTATAAGTAGAGATGGGCTTATGTTGAAAAGTGTGGTGGCCAAGCAGAGGCTGAGAGAGCACCACTCTCGGTCCATGGGTTTGTCTCTGGGTACCCAAAGAAGTGCTGTGGGTGTCCTTGGTGTGGCCAAGCCAGGGCCTCAAAACCCAGCTCTCCATGCAGATTTCTTGGGCGGCTTCTGTCCAAAGGGACGGTAAGGGGGTTTTCTGTCATGGTCCCAGAGGCTCCCGTTGATGGCATGTGGGACCCTCTCCTCCTGTGGCAGGTACCAGTGTACTCCAGATACCTCCTGAGGCCTCCCTCCTCTGCCTTCTGGCAGCTCTCACCCTCCAGCCCCAGAACACAGCCTTTCTTCAGGCTTGTGGCCTCTGGGTGGGCTCACTGGCTCTTGTCCTCCCCTGCGCCCAGCTCTCAGTGAGCAGCTCCAGGTGGAGCCCTGCCTGAGCCAGACGGTAGAGAAGCGCCGTCCCATCCGCCTCTTTGTCCGACTCCTGTGACGTGCATCTGAGTTTCTTTGGCCCCGAGGTCCTTGGCGGTGGTAGCTATGTGGACAGGATCGTGCCCAGCTTGCCTAACTTGCTTTCTTTATTTCTGCAAACCGGTTAGCAATTCCAGGGCGGCCAAACCGAAGTCACACGGAGTTAGCCAAAGCACAAAGTCACGATCCTGAGGAGGAGGGAGGGAGGCCTGGCCACAGAGCCAGCCAGTGTGTGGCTGTCCAAGCCCACAACCTCCTCTAGGACAAGAGCGGGTGTCTGCCTGGAGCAGCATCTACCCAGGAGGGAGAGGCGGGGGCTCTTGAATTTCCTTTAATTGGATGTCTGCTGAGCTCCACAGAGGTCAGAACAGATGAGCAACTGCTCTGACAAGGACAAGACCTGAGGCTCTGGTGAGCCCGGCTGCCCGAGGAAGCTGACGTCCTCCCTGGGAGAGGATGGGGTGCTCCCTGCCTTCCATCCACACCAGCGGGCGAGCATCCTACTGAGGCAACCCTTTGGCTCTCAGAGGCCAAGAAAGGTGGAACTCAGGGGCCTTTCTCCCTTCTCTCAGTTACCGGGGATCCCACCAGCTTGTCTTAACTGTAAGTCTGGGTCTCAGAGAAGCCCGTGGTCAGGACCTGGTGGACAGAAAGTGGGGCACAGGCTGTGGCAGAGTGTAGGTGTGTGTGGAAAGGAAGGCAGGGAGCATCCTGGACCAAGCCTCACCTCAGGCCCAGCTGCCTGAGCCTGCCCTTCTTGCCCCCAGATCTCTCCATCCCAAAACAATACCTCTAATGTACCAGGGAGGTCACCGACTGCACACAGCCACCAATGCAGCCAGCTAGGCTCCCGAATCCCCCTCCCCCCGCACTCAGAGGAGATGTGAATGTCAGGTTACGGTTTTATTATTTCAGAACTAGCCCAGCCCATCTCTAATTATAAAACATGATTTCTTTTCTTTCATTTTTTTTTCCTTCACTTATGCTCACAACCACCTGTCTGACGAGGCCTGGAACAGCTCTAGAATGAACACATAAAAATTTAGCAATTTTTAAACAAAAAAATCTCTTTCTTTACTGCAAGTTTAAATATGTGTACAGATAGTTCATAAGCACAATATTTTAAGAAAAAAAAAGTGGCTGGTCTACTGGGCAGCCTCTGTGCCACCTAGTGCTGGAAAGCTAAAGGGAGAAAAGGTTTGTGGTTTAGCGATACCATTTCGTTGGGACAATTACACAAGCAACCTTTTAAAAATCATCTTTCCCTGGACACATCGGAACCTGCAGCATTGGGTCGTTTTTTTTCCAGACTTGCCACAGCTTCATCACTGAAGGCCAATTATTTCTTCAAAAAGGATTAGAATCTACAACTTGTCAGTTTCTCCAAAAACAATGCCCACACATGCTCATGCATGTACGAATACACACACACACACACACACACACACACACACACACACCCTCACGCATGCCCACACCACACCCCTTGATATGGAGACCAAGGCTTCAAATCTTAATCTGTTCCCAAAACCCTTTGCAGGTCAACCCCAACTTGTAAACCATCCAATCAGCTGGTACCAGGTGACTGCTGAGCACCTTGCTCTGGGTTCTGTCATTTTCCCACAGCAAGGTGAGTGAATTAGCAATGTTCCAGAAACACTACAAATCCAGACACAGCGGGTAGCCCGCAAAGAATTCAGAGAGTATGAAAATGTGGCCCCGCCATGAATTTGTCTTCCATTGGGTGGTTCTTCGAAGTCCCCTCAGTGTGCCATGTCACTGGGCTCCTTTCCTTTGCCTCCGGTTGGCATTACCTCTGTGCTCAGTGCCAGGCAGATGCCAGGCAGGAGACCTGATGGCTTGGGGCCCGCTGAACTTAGGCAGCGGGTGACAGGCCGCGACTGCCTTCCTTAGACTTCAAGCCAAATGCCACCAAGCAGAAGCAAGCTGACTGCCAGCCTTGGGAGCTGATAGGCCAGCTTTGCTTTGCAGTGTCTGGTCACAGAAACACAGCCGGGCCTATCAGAACCCCCCCCCCCAACCACCCAAACACACACATTTGCCTAGATGATTGGGTCTCTATCTCTGACAGTGAACGTTGCTAAGAAAGCAATAGTCCCTCATTGCAATCGCCGCCCATTGTTCTCCCCACTTGGAACATGTCAGAACCAGGCCCTACTCCAGGACCCTCTTCAGTGGTGAATCAGATGTTAAACTGCTCATAAGGACCATGTTACCACTATTCCAGGTTTTAAGATCAACTTTTGTTATATACTGTAATTTAAATAACTGCATAAATTTACATGCCTAGTTTCTGTAATATTGTGTATACAAAACCAAAATCTCTCAAGCTGTAAATTGTGTATACCCGCCAGGATCCCTACTCTGGGGTGTCCGTGCGCATTTTAGATTTAATTCATACAATTAAAAAGAACTCAATGTGACTGCTGACGTGCTGAAACTTTACATAAGAAATATTTGTGATACTTTAGTTAATAAAATGGTGAGTTTTTTTTCCTGAGTTATTGAACAAGCGAACATTACCCAGCTGACCTGGCAATGACTTTTTGTGTGTGTGTGTGGGTAGGGGGGGCCACAAATAACGATTTTTTTCTCCCATTAGCAATTTTGGGTTTTGAATCCATGTTTCACACTATAGTTTGTGTGTAACAGCACATGTCATGTTATCTTTGTTGCCGTTGATTTTGTGCTCTTTTTCTTTTTAGACTTTATTTATTTAGAGAGAGAAAGAGCAAGAGGGAGGGAGGGAGGGAGGGAGGGAGGGAGAGAGAGAGAGAGAGAGAGAGAGAGAGAGAGAAAGTTCCTGTACTTTGCACTTTCCCCCCAATCCTTCGATCTCTTGTATGGCAACCAAAATTACTGTAAAAAAATAAATATACTCTTGCAATAAGGTTGTGGGTCTGATTCCAAAGGGGGAGGTGGAACTGACCCCCTCGGAGCTGTCAGGCTCGTCATCTGAGGTGGGGTGTGTCCCACACCTCAGTCAGCTCCACCTGGACAAGGTGATAGATAGGGTGGCATCTTTTCTTCAGCCGCTTCGCCTCAGGCCCGTTTCCTCCAGCGCCCTCACTGTCGAAATGGAAACCTTGTGTATTATTTCAGAATTGTGCAAAATGTCAAAATGGGCTTGTGTGAGCACTCCTGTGAGCCCCGGGCCTGGCTGTCCCTTTTGTTTCAGGGTGGATGCAGGGGCACCCCAGAGATCGAGCTGAGCTCGGCTCCCTCTTTCCCAGGAGGAGAGAGAGGTGTCCTCACAGCACTGAGGGTTGTCGGCTGGCCAGAGGCCATGGGAACTGAAGACCACGTGGCTTCTCTAGCTGACCTAACCAGACGATGCTTTCATGAGCAGCAGTGGACTGAGGCCAGGAGAGCAAGAGAGAAGCTGGGTCTTTGGCCAACAGCTGAATCAGGAGCCCAGGGCCATCCGTGCACTTCTGAAAAGTGTATGTGAAAACCAGTGAACCCCTCTGGACTCCTGAGTTCCCCGGCAGGGTCTCTCCTTGGACACACCCTTCATCCGAGCAGCAGTAGAAGCTACTGTGTTCCCATTTTTGTCCCTCGCTCCCTGCAATCCCTGGTAGATCCTCCCAGGTCATCCCCTAGCTCTCCCAGCTTCACTGTCCAACGACCCCTTGATAAAGTGGGTATTCATCAGGGGGCATCTACTGGCCCACCTCCTCTTTACTTGAACTGTATCTGAGGCATTGGCTCCCCGGGGGTCTAGACTATGTCTGCACCCTGGGTGAGAACCTCCTGGATGGAAGGGGTCACGCAGCCACTGGCATGCAGACTGCCTGCTTTGGGCAGAGTCTGGCGGTGTCCAGTGCCCCACCCCAGATTCTATCAGCCCCATGGCTGGCCCTTCAAGTCCCCACTGTCCTGATGACGCTGTTTCTTCCTGCGCTCTGGGACATGGGTCCGCAGCTCACAGTCTTTGCCGGTTTATGTTTAAAGTCACAACAGCCACTGTTCGAGGCTTCTACTAGAACTCTGTTCACAGCCAATCCAAAACTTTAATATGAGCCTTCAAATAAATACTGAATAGAAAAAATTGATTTAAAACAAGCAAACAAACAAAGTGTGTGCCTTGGGTGTTTTGAACTAATCTGCATCAAACCATACTGTAATTGTATATTTGATGAGAGGATCAATATATCTTCAATGTATAATGTAGCTGATAAAAATAGTTCTAGTGCCTTGTCTTCTGAACTGAGAAGCCCATATCAATGCACAACCTAAAGAAGCAAAGCCCGACTGGAGAACTGCGTGCTGAGAGGAGCGAGCCCCTGTGTGGGGGGCCTTCTCATCAGAAGACTGTGGAACACACACAGTCGTTTACGCTTAAAAAGAGAGAGAGAGAGAACGTTGAAACAGAATTGTGTTATCAATTAATTTTCCATTAAAAATGCTCTCTGCTCTATCACGTCCAGTATTTTCATTTAAATACAAACACATTTTAGGGAATTATCGTAGGGGGTGGTGTGGCTTCTCATGGCACCCTGGGTGGGCAGCGCTTGTGTTGTGTTGCCCCCTGGTGGTGCTGGTCAGTAATGCTTGTCGGGGGTCATCGGTGGCCTTTGGTTTATGTTTTGCTAAAAAAGACAAAATATTTGCGTTTTAGTAACTGAGACCACACGCTATCCTCCTTTGAAAAGAAGACATTAGAAGTAGATCATTGTAATTCTGGTCTCACAACTGTCAGCTGTTTCTAGAAGCTCAAAATGTCAGGCTTCCCTGAGTGGCCTTCATCCAGGGTGGGGCGCACACTGGAAACAAGCATTCTGTCCCTGGGTCCGTACTAGTCACAATGATAGTGAGCCTGAGGGGACTCCAGCCAGAGAGGGGAATGACACCCCTAGACACCGTGTCTCCTCAGCCTGCTGATGCAGAGGCAGGGTGAACATCATACTACATACAGGGTGAACATGTGCACTGGCATGTCATTGAGTGGGGCTCTCTCTCTCTCTCTCTCTCTCTCTCACACACACACACACACACACACACACACACACACACACACACACACACACACACACCTCAAAAGTGCCAGGAGTGCCTCAGACCCAGAATTCTCCCACCAAACCCCAAGACTGTCACGGGGCTGTGCTCCGACCAGCAGGATGTGGACACAGGGGTCGTAGAGTTTCAGGCAGTGTAGGTTCCAATAATCCTAGAAGCTGAATCGTGGAGTGCAGAGGAAACCCCTGTCATCAGGTGTAGATTCTGACCAGGTGGCACCTGAGGCTTCTCACCTCCAGGTGAGCCTGGCCAGGGAGGTTGCACAGTAAACTCTCCTCTCCATGGCCTCGGCAGGACTTGGTTCCACACTGGGACTGTGAAGAGTATGGTGATATTTTATTTGTATTCAAATGTTATTTGTATGTTAATAAATAAAGTTGCCCCGGGGGTCAGAGCTATTAGCAAGCCATAGGAAAGCAGGGCAGTGGTGGCGTACACTTGTAATCCCAGCACTTGGTAGGCAGAGCTAGGTAAGTCTCTATGTGTACAGCCAGTATTGGATATACATGCCTTTAATCTCAATACCAACCATAGAAAACCTGGAGGTCTATACAGACTGGCTGAGGCAGTCATGTGGTTGGGTTTACAACCAATTAGAAGGCAGAACAGAAACTCAATATAAAGACTTCAACACAGGAAGTAGCTCTGGTTCAGAGAGGTAGGACCACCACAGGAGGAAGGGTAAGGTTTTAGCTCTTAGCTCTGACCTCTTGGCTTTCTTCTTTGCATTGGTTCTGTGTTTCTTATTTAATAAGACGGTTGGTTACATCTACATCCCAGTGTCAGCATTGCCTCCATTTAAGGCATGAGCCCTGGGGCCAAGAGTCCAAAAGTGAGGCAGTACACTGCCCACAGTCACTGGGTAAGATGGCCAGGCATCCTGGGAACACAACCTGGAGTTGACTCAGCAGCCACCTATTATCCCAGGGCTTCATGGAAATCAAGCCACTCTGATGCTGTGCAGAATTATTATAAAAACATGTTCTCAGGAAGAGTGGGGAGCACACGGTGGAAGGAGGGCACTGGCTTAAGGGAAGTCCAGGCTGGGCACAGCAGGGCAACCTCCTGGAGTGAGTGCCAGCTATGAGGCAGAGCTACTCGAGAGCACTTCATGGTTCCAATGTGGAACCAAGTCCTGCCGAGGCCATGGAGAGGAGAGTTTACTGTGCATCCTCCCTGGCCAGGCTCACCTGGGGGTGAGAAGCCTCGGGTGCCACCTGGTCAGAATCTACACCTGATGCCAGGGGTCATGTCTTCTCCCCATCACTTTTCCGAGTTGTTAGTACAAGGCAGGGATTCAGGAAGCTTAATACTGCCCTGGACCACAGGCCATTCAATCAACAGAGAGGGAAAGGGAGATTCAGAAATAGACTCCCTTAGCTTCCTGTGGTCAAGACTGCCATCCGTAGGGGCCCTAACCCTCAGATAGAGGACCTGATGGGAAGAGCATGTTGACCAGATGTGGCATTGACTTTAATGCTCACCAGTTTCCTGAGCACTGTTGCCAAGGTGATGTCCCTTTTACAGATGAGGGAACCGAGGCTCAGATGCCACATGGAACAAGATTCCCAAAGGCCCCGTTGTGGGCACAGGCACATACAACCCTTTTGCTCACAGCTGTGAACTTCCTGGAGCCTCTGGCATTCTCCTATATGGCCTGTCAGACACCAATGTCTCTGGTGCCCATGGTGACCTGGGTCCCAGCTCACCATGACGCATTCTGGGAACCAAGAAACCATCACAGTTAGACCAATGCTGGGTTCATCCCACTGGGTTTGAGGGTCATCCCCTCCCTAGACGCACACTGGTACATAGAAGAGGGGCCCACAGCCTGCCACCCTCCCCACCCCTGACCCTGTTTTCTTCACTTTTGACCCTGAGCCTGTTCTCATGGCTGCAGTATCCTTGACGCCTCATGGAGACAAAGTAAGTGTCTAGTCTTAAACACCATTGTCTGGACATGGCATGGCTGTCAGGAAATCAGAGTGGCTGTGGTCACCTACACAGACCTCCACGAGATTGTGTGCCCAGTGGTCTCCAGCTGGACAGTGTGTTTCCAGATTCCTGGTATCTGAAGAAGAGCACACAAATGGAGAAACAGTGAGGGCTTTGTTCAGAAGCAATGTCTAAGTACGGCAGAGCAGCAGCAGGTTCCAGGGCGTGAGGGCCCTGGTCATGGTTGGCGTTCCTTCGGTGGATTCATGGGGAGGAGGTGGCTGCTAGGTATCGGCTATGGATGCTTTTCTGTTAGTTTTGTTTTGTTGTTTTTTTGCTAATTTGTTTGTTTCTTTTTCAAGATAGCTTTCTCCGTGTAGTACTGGCTGTCCTGGAACTCGCTCTGTAGACCAGACTAGCCTCAAACTCACAGAGATCCTCCTGCCTCTGCCTCCTGAGTGCTGGGATTAAAGGTGTGCGCCACCACCACACGGCTGTTTCAAATTTGATTTTATGTCTGTGTTTTGCCTGCATGCGTGTATGTGTACCACATGTATGTCTGATGCCTACCAGGGTCAAAAGAGGGCTTCGGATCCCCTGAGACTGGAGTTACAGATGATTGTGAGCTGCCATGTGGGTGCCGGGAACCTGGGTCCTCTGCAAGAGCAACACTGTGCCATCTCTCAAGCCTATGACATTATTATTATTATTATCATCATCATCATCATCATCATTATTATTATTAGGGGGGGTTTGAGACAGGGTTTCTCTGTGTAGTTTTGGTGCCTGTCCTGGATCTCCCTCTGTAGACCAGGCTGGCCTCGAACTCACAGAGATCCACCTGGCTCTGCCTCCTGAGTGCTGGGATTAAAGGCGTGCACCACCACCGCCTGGCTATTTTTATTATTTTTAATTATATGTATGTGTGTGCTTGTG